TGCCCCAGTAGGGACTCTGTGTTAAGGCTCTGACACCACATTTCCCTTTGCACTGCCATAGCAGAGGTTCTCCAAGAGGACCCTGCCCCTATAGCAAACTTCTGCCTGGGCATCCAGGTGTTTCCTTACATCTTCTGAAATTTAGGCAGAGATTCCCAAACCTCAATTCTTGACTTTTGTGCACTGGCAGGCTCAGAACTACATGGAAGCTGCCAAGGCTTGAGACTTGCACCCTCTGAAGCCACAGCTCAAGCTATAGGGATGCAGAGCCCCAAATCCCTAGGCTGCACACATCATGGGAACCCTGAACCTGGCCCACAACATCACTTTTTCCTCCTAGGCCTCCAGGCCTGTGATAGGAGGGGCTGCCATGAAGACCTGTGACATGCCCTAGAGACATTTTCCTCATTGTCTTGGGGATTAATATTTGACTCCTCGTTACTTATGCAAATTTCTGCAGCCAGCTTGAATTTCTCCTCAGAAAATGGGATTTTCTTTTCTATCGCATTGTCAGGCTGCAAATTTGCAAACTTTTATGCTCTGTTTTCCTTTTGAAACTGAATACTTTAGTAGACCCAAGTCACCTCTTGAATGCTTTGCTGCTTAGAAATTTATTCCACCAGATACCCTAAATCATCTCTCTCAAGTTCAAAGTTCCACAAATCTCTAGGGCAGGGGCAAAATGCCACCATTCTCTTTGCTAAAACATAACAAGAGTCACCTTTGCTCCCATTCCCAACAAGTTCTTCATCTCCATCTGATACCACTTCAGCCTAGAACTTATTGTTCATATCACTATCAGCATTTTTGTCAAAGTCATTCAACAAGTCTCTAGGAAGTTCCAAACTTTCCCACATCTTCCTGTCTTCTTCTGAGCCCTCCAAACCGTTCCACCCTCTGCCTGTTACCCAGTTCCAAAGCCGCTTCCACATTTTTGGGTATCTTTTCAGCAACACCCCACTCTACTGGTACCAGTTTAATGGATGACACACTCGTGCAGCTGGTCTCCACTGCAGGTCCTTCATAAAGCTTCACTAGTCCATGAGAAATGAAACAATAAGGACAGGGTATTGAGATTTCGACAAAACTAAATGTAGACTATTTAAATGATTCTCCTTTATTCTGATATCATGATAACCACTTTTTTGGTATTAAAAATCTCCTTTTCGTTATGAAATAATGGTGAGAGTAAACGTTGAGCAGTTGCTTTGTTTGAAGTCCTTATATAATCAAATAAAAAGCTGACAATTATGTTGTAGTTCTGCAAAAAGTTTGAATATTTTATTGGTCCTACTCTAAGACTTTCAAGAAGATGGCCCTTCCCACATGTGGGGCTGGAACCTCTTCCCCGTCACCATCATCAGAAGGGCTTCCGCCCTGGATACAATTAGTATTTGTTGCATACTTCAGTATTTTCTAGGTATATCTTTGCTTTTCGGAAGTCTAAAACGTCTGGTAGAATGTTTCAGAAGAAGCAACACAAAATAGAGGCATTAAAATCAAATTTTGAAGTCTGAAACTTCTGTTTCTTACCATCATTAAGAGAGAAGTGCCCAGTGACAATCATTTCTCCAAACCATCAACAGCTCCTTGGAAATGAAGTGGAAGGGTGATAATACATCCAGGACATACCTAGCTAATGTCTTAATCTTGGCATAATTATTAATAATAACATTCTCTTTCATTCTGAAAAGTGTCTAGGACTCAAAGGTGAGTTCATTGGGATAATAAACTATGGCCACCTTAACTAAAGACCCCTTCAGCTCTCCTGAGCCAGAAAGTCCCAAAGAGCCTGCTCTTTCCCTGGGCAGGAAGCCATGGAGACCAGCGGAAGGATTATGTCTGTCTTACCAGAGGCCTGGGTTGGGTGCCAGTGTGAAGTCTATAGGATCCACTTAGATCTGGGACTTCAGAGACCTAGTGGTGGTGAATCTTTGTGGCTTCCATCATTGCATTGTCTCTGGGAGCATCAAGTTGAAGGCCAAGCTAGTTTATTTCCTTTGATGAGGGAAAATATGTCAACACAATGGTCCAGTGAACTCTGGGAAAAGACAGACATGCGGTGCCTTTGGGGAATTATGGCCTAAATGGTTTCACTCTGGCACATGTGGAATTAAATATAAAACAAACTGCTGATTGCTGTTAAATTCACATGAATAAAAACAACCATTACTATGTCTTCTCAGCTACAGTACCAGAGAGTCCCCCTAGAATCAAGCAGTTATTAGACTGGACTTTGGAGTGAGTGTAGAAAAGAAAAGGAGGAGGAGAAGGAAGAAAAGGAGGAAAAGAGGAAGAAGAAGAAGAGAGAGAAATAAGTCAAATAGGTGGAGAGTTTTGAAAGATACGAAGTCTGTGCCATTTAGTATGAGTTATTTTTCCTTTTTATTCCTCGTATTTGACATATGAAAAGAAATCTTTGCTGATGCTGGCTTCAGATTCTCAGGTTTAAGTACACTATCCTTGGCCCAGTAAAGAGTTACATGCATCATACTTCCGAGGCCTTCAAACAAAGAACAACTTGGAGTAAGCTTGAGAGTTTGCAGGGCATTTTGGTGACATTTCTGGATGCCCTTTATTTCCCCCTTTCAAGAAAAGCCCTTTCTTTCATTGCCTTCTCACATAACAGCTTGGTATTCTTGTCCCTCCCAGAAATGCATTTGAACTTGCTGGTTTGTTAAGAGTCAGGGCATGAAGCATTTTTCCATGGTAGAAAAGTTCTGGCATTCCAAAGCAGAACTAATGTGGGATTTGGGATGCTTGCCCTATTTGTGCACTTAATTAGAGCTCACCAAAAGCAGCTGGTAGATTGGTGCCATAAGAAACCAATGCTGAGACCAAGGAAGGCTAAGACTGTGAGCACCCTAAGAGGGCGGTGAACATGAATTCCACACCTGTTCCCTACTGACTGGAGTCAGGATTCAAAGGCAAAAAGTTGTGTGCTTTCCAGCAACATTCATTGGGATCTGCAGCCCAATTTAATCAATTGATAGGTTGCCAGCATCTGAGTCAAGTCCCGAAACACTTGGTTCCCCTTGGGTCAATGAAATTTGGTCTTGGTTCTAATACGAACTTTAAGTTGACAAAAAATGGCTGTGAGAAAACTACTGGTTTTAGAGTCAGTCAAGCATGTGCTCTAAGTCTGACTCTGCCACTATGAGATGTCAGATCTTAGAGAAACTATTCAGTTACTTCTGAGCTTTAGTTTGCTTCCCTGTAAAGGGGCATACTAACACCTATTCCATGGGTCCATTATATACACAACAGCCAACATTTGTTGAGTAATTACTATGTGCAGAGCACTGTGCTAAGAGCACAGTCTAGGTTAACTTTTTAATCCTCACACAGACCTAAGGAAATAGATTCTATATTACAGATTGGCAAACTACTCCCCACAGACCAAATTTTGCCTACTGACTGTTTTTGAAAATAAAGTTTTATTGAGACAGAGTCACATCCGTTCATTCACATAGGCCCTATGGCTGCTATTGTGCTACAACTGCAGAGTGGAATAATTGTGACAGTGACCAAATGGCCCATAGAACCTAAAATACTTACTGTCTGGCCCTTTATAGAAAGAAGTTTGCCTGTGCTTTAAATTATCTCAACTTAAAGATGAAGGAGATAAGCCAAAGGTATTAAAACCTATTTCAAGTAGGTTAGCTGGGGCCAGAAAGCTGGTAACAGGTAGGACTAGGATTTGAATCAAAAACCGGACTCCAGAACTTGTGTTAGTCACCAGTACCTTATATATTATACATATATATACACACACACACACACACACACACACACACAATGCCTAGCATAGTACCTAGCACACAGGAGATACTTAATACATCTGTTTTATTAGCATGGCACTCCCTTTCCTTTTACCTCCTTTCCCAGTTTCCTATCAATTCCAGTTACCTTTTGCTTCTCTTCTGCAAGATAATTCAGTTAAGCATATTTCTAGCCAATTTTATGCCCATGAGCTCAATCTATCCAACAACTCTGTGAGGTTGGTATCATTATTTTCATTTAAAAGATGAATAAACTACTTCTTGATCTCTGAGCTCCCAGGAGTCTTTGCACTCCATTTGGGGACCCTCAGAGGAAACATTGCTGGGACCTTTTGGAACATTTGTTTCATGCAGCAAACTAGCATTAAAGAAAAAAAGATCTCAGTGGCTGCTTGAGAAAGGATTACAATCTAATTAGGGAGAGAAAACCAAAATACTGAGACAATAGCAGGCATTTGAAAGTAAGTTATTTAGTACAGACAGTAAGTGAGTGTGAATTCAGAGAGCTGGGAACAAGGGAATGGACAGGGGAGGGGAGGGCTCTCAAGTTTCGTGGTCAAGTGTGAACTGTGCCTTGAATGACAGACCGAATTTAAAAAGCAGAGGCTCAGATTCAGGCATGATGGAAGTGGGAAAAGGAACCACAGAGTTCCTGCAGAAATGGAAGTGAGAGCTCTCAGAGGGACAGGATCAGCAAATCCCTGGGAACTATAGAAAATCAGAACAGGTAAATAATGTGGGGACAGATTCTACAGGATTTTGAAGGCCAGAGAGAGGTACCTGGGTTTTAGAATAATAATAGTGATCATCATAACACTTAGGTGCAGGATTGCTGACCACACACATTACACATATCCTTGCCCTTAACCCTCCCTGTCCATTCTGTGATGTAGGTATCATCCTGCTTTACAGATATGAAAATTGATGCTTAGATTATAGCAATCAAAGGTTGATGGGAAAATTAGAAATATTCCACAATGCTTACTTAGTTCAACTGTGCAGGGCTTTTGTGTTGTTACGTTCTTCCTTGGATACATATGCTTGTCGTTGAGATTTTATAGGGTAATCTATATACCCTATAAACCCATATAACATAATCATAGGTTCTGCTTGTTCTGATACTGTTACCTATAAACATTTCCCCAGGGATTCAGATGGAAAGTGCCGTGAATTAAAGACCTTACGCTACCTGGACTAATCTGATATTTCCCACTACAGGCAATGGGCAGCTATGGCATGGTTCAGAGCACGGGATGCCATAATGAAAAGGATCAGTTCTTTCAACAAAGTCAGGCCGGATGGGAAGGACAGGAAGGAGGAAATCGTGTGAACCCAGAAGAGTGATATGCATTGGAGAGGCAATCCCGGGATGAACACTTGGAGCTTGGGTTTGGAATGGCTAAAGAACATATGCCAAGAAGAGAAGGCACACATGTAGATTGAGAAGGCCATGACCAGCACTGCTTAAGCCTTACCACTTAGCCATAGTTGAGGGACATAGGACTTGAAGTATAGAGATTTAGGCTCAAGTCCTAGTCTCACTGCTACTGGCACTATGTGAAGAAGGAGGGAAAAGATAAGGATTATATGCTGATTGAGTTATGCACTATATTGTGTCTTCCCATCAATAGCACTTAAATATTTCTGTGTGCCAGCACTTTCTAATTTCTCTTCTAATCGCTTAACATATATTAACTAATTTAATCTTCAGAGAAACCCTATTAGATGGGGGGTGTTATCTCCTTCGTATAGCTGGGGAGACTGAGGCACAGAAAAGGTTAAGTAACACACCTATGGTCGCACAGCTGGTATGTAGAGAAACTACACTTTGAACCCAGGCAGTTTGGCCCCTGAGCCCATGCTCTTACTTACTGTCAAATTACCTCTCAGGAGAAACCAGGGTAAGTGTTACAAGCCCAGTTTTACAGATGATGAGACTCTGGGTCCAAGACCATAAAGGAGTTGACTAAAGATCAGACAACTAAGTAAATTGTTATGCGGGCATTTGAACTAGGTCTTCCTAATTCTGATCCAGACATTCTTTCTGTCAGATCACACTGCCTCCTGTTGGTGTGAAAGCATTTTATAACCATAAACCTCCTCCTGTTTATTAACATGTTGTTATGATTAAGGCTTCTCTGATTCAGCAGGAAAACTAAGGAGGTAGATCGGCCAAGCTCATGGATGGTAGTAATAAAGAGCTTGCCTTCTAGACTGTGACTCCTTCCAGGAGAGCCACCAACCAGTTCCTAACCTCTGTTTCTTGCGATTCCTACAGGGCCTGGCGTGGGGTAGAGAGTGACTCTTAACAAATATTTGTTGAACACCACTTGTTCCAGATAGAAGCATGTGAGGCTCTCCACTACCGCCAGCGGCATAGCTGGCACACCCATGCATTAGCAACTTGCCCTCTGCCAAGTCCTGGGATGGTGATAGGATGATGGTTCTTTGTAAGCTTGTCACCTGCCCCTCTTCCAAAATGAATTTACCCAGAGAAGCATTCTGAGGTTGAATTTGTCCCATACCACCCCTTCACCTACACATTGACACTCCCCACTGTATACCGTGGGGTCAGAGACCTCACACTACAAAGGCCCCTTGCCAAGCCTGGTATTGCTTGCAGCCTGTCTGAGGCTTTCACTACTTTCCCCCAGACTCTCAGTCCCTGGCCTCCTGGCTCGTGGCCACTCCCAGTGCCCTTGGCTTTAGCTTCCTGACCCCCATATAACTGGCACCCAGGACCACTTCACCGGCTTCCCTCTCAGAACAATTGACTTTTGCCCCTGGGGTACTTACACCTCTTTTGTTCAAGGTCACACCCCGGCCCAACACCCAGGATCCACCCCGCCAGCCTGTGTGAGAGCCATCCCCACTAGACTTTGAAAGGGACTGGACAGCGTGTTCAGCCACCTTCTCAAGGGCCTGTCCCTGGCAGCTTTACTGGTCCCACCTGTTCCTAACCTAGGAGGTGCCAATCCAACAAGACGAGGCTATTCTGGGAAGAAGCAGGAAGACCTCTTCACCCTAGTTGAGTCTTTCTTAACAAAGAAGTCACCAGAACTTTTTTTTTTTTAAAGTGTTTTAAAATACTGCACAGGATGCTACAGCAGTTAAGAGCATGGCCTCTAGAATCAGAAGGATAGGAGTTAAAAATCCAGTTCTGCCACTTGCTAGCCGTGTCATCCTAGGGAAGTTACTTAACCTTTCTCAACCTCAGTTCCTCATTTGTAAAATGGAGCTAAAAAGAAAGCCTACATTCCTAGGTAGTCATGAGAATTCTGTGAAATGATATATGTGAGCATATATCATAGCATGTGACAAGCAGTAGGTGCTCAATAAATGATAGTTATTATCAGCATTATATTAAATATTATTAAAGTATCTTTTAAGACTTTCTGGAGATATTTCATTCAGACAGTTATTTATTCAACAAACATTTATCAAGAGCCTGCGTTTCTCCAGATCCATGCCGAGTGCAAATATGGGATGTATAATTATGTTTATAAAAAGAAGCGGTGCATGTTAATCACTTGTTATAGGCCAGACACTGTTCTAGGCATTTTAGGAATATTGTTTCATTTAATATTGATAAGGGCCTTGTAAGCTGGCAGAAATCATGATTGTCATTTTAGAGATGAAAACACTGAGGTTCAGAGAGGTTATCCCCAAAAAGACATGGCCTGTGATTGAGTGTGGCATGCACCACCCTTAAATAAACCAAAATATTTTAAGTTCAAGTCCCAACTATTGAGAGATCCACAATTTACTCTCATGTAATACAATCCCTTTATATAACTTTCTGGTTAAAGTCAAGGTCAGAGCAAAGTGGTTTGATTTCATCCTCATTGGTAAAAATCTCTGTAAGAGGTGAGTGTTCTCATGCCTTTGTTAGCATGCTAGCAATGAGCCTTGGGTCTCTCCTCTGATTACTGGGGATTTCATCATCATTCAGGAAACCTTCTCTCATTATGTGGGACTGAAAATAGAGATAGAAAAGGCAACAAAACTCAACCAATGCATGCTTTGCAAGTTATTTTGTTTTTTAAGCAAGTCCAAGTCATGATCTTGCTTTCAGATTCAAGCCTTATGCCTGTAGCCATTGAAAGGCAAGTATGTCAAGGGGTGAAAAAAGGTTCTTCAGTTAGCTAAGGTTTTATTCTGTTTCTACTGTGGTGGTTTGAAACTAATTACAGACTCGGTTGTGCCTACATGTGCAAAATGAAATGAGAGTTTGAGCCAATTACTCTAATAATGAAGAGAGGAAAATCCACTTTTCTTTCCATTATCTAAAGATTTCAGGCTTATGTGAGTTTTATATGTATATATTAAATTATGTGAAAAATTGGCCTCAAGCCTTCATTTTACTTTGCCTGTCTAGAAACAGACTCAAATTTTGTTTCAGAAAGGAGATGACATGCCTTAGGCATCTTCCAGGAGACTAGAGGGTCTTGGTGTAACAATTGCAGCCAAGATTGATTTTCTTATTGTTATGATAGAATACTTGTGCATGCCTGGGGGAGGGAAGCATATTATGAAAGATGACTTAAAAAAAAAAAAAAAAAAAAAAGGCTGGAATACCTAGAATAAACTTTAAGAGGAAGTTTCCACTCATATTATTCATTCATTTATTTAGTCCTTTCCAGGACATGCAAAGCCCTCCTGGCCTGGTGCTCACTCCCTTTCTAATTTCATCTCCTTCTGCCACTTGCCCAAACTGCCCCAGCAGGTCTGGCTTCGTTGCTCTCTTTCCATTCACTGAGCACACTTCCAACTCAGGGCTTTCAAGCTTACAATTCCCTCCGTGTGGAATCATCTTTCCATTGATTTTTTCATTGTTCACTCCCTCTTTCCCTTAGATCTCTGCTCAAATGTCATTTTATCAGAGAGATGCCATTCCTAGTCACCCTATACAAACTGCCTGCTCCACACCTACCATTCTCTGTCCCCTTTGCCCTACTTGATGTTTTTTCTCCCTAGTACTTACCACCATCTGTGTGATATATGTGCATAAAGATATGTATTATTTTGATAAACATGACCATATATTTTATTTTAATAAAGTTTATTTTTGGAAGAGTTTTATATTTACATTTATATTTATAGAAATAATTGTGAAGATGATACAGAGAGTTTTTCTTTCCTTTTTTTTTTTTTTTTTCCTGGGATGCAGTCTCGCTCTGTTGCCTAGGCTGGAGTACAGTGGCACAATCTTGGCTCACTGCAACCTCCACCTCCTGGGTTCAAGCAATTTTCCTGCCTCAGCCTCCTAAACTGGGATTACAGGCGTGCACCACCACACCCGGCTAATTTTGTATTTTTAGTAGAGACAGGGTTTCACCATGTTGGTCAGACTGGTCTCAAACTCCTGACCTCAAGTGATCTACCTGTCTTGGCCTCCCAAAGTGCTGGGATTACAGGCATGAGCCACTGCACCCGGGGGATACAGAGAGCTTTTCTAAACCGCATACCTAGTTACCTTTATTATTAACATCTTACATTAGTATGGTGCATTCATTACAATTAATGAACCAATATTGAAACATTATTATTATTTTATTTTATTTGTTTACCAGTTTGTAATGCAATGTATTTTTAAACACAGTGAAAGACACCTGACAGGTAACTGAACAAGTTAGCATTAGCTGGGCCCAGGGTTAACCAACTCGTATCAACATTCACAGACCTCTGCAGATTCCCTGAGGACAGCAATATCCAATAGTGTTTACTTGTTCTGTGAGCACAGTAATAGAAGCGAAGCGACACCTTTGTTAATTAAAGCATATATTTTATGCAGACTTCCTTAGATTGTACCTAACTTCCCTTTTCTATTCTAGGATCCCTTCCAGGACACCACATTACATTTAGTCATCATGTCTCCTTAAGCTCCTCTGGCTTCTGATGACCTTGACATTTTTGAGGAGTATTGGTCAGATACTTTGTAGTATGTCCTCCAATTGAGATTTGTCTGATTTTTTTTTTTTTTTTTTCATGATTGGAGTTTTGGTCTTTTGGGAGAAAACAGAAAAGAGACAAAGTACCATTCTCATCATATCATATCAAGGATACTTACTGTCAGTGTAACTTACCACTATTGATGTTGGCCTTGGTCATCTGACTAAGGTAGTGTTTGTCAGGCTTCTCCACTATAAAATTGCTCTTTCTCCTTCCTTTTTATACTGTACTCTTTGGAAAGAAGTCACTACTCACAGCTCAAACTTAAGGAGTGAGTGAGAAGTAAGTTATGATCTACCTCTTCATGGGAGGAATATCTACATAAATTTGGAATTATTCTGTTTGGGAGATTTGTCTCTTCTCATTTATTTATTCACTCATTCATCTGATAACTCATATATATTTATATTTTTGGTTATAATCTAGTACTACTTTGTTTTGTTACTCAGTTGTTCCAGTTTTGGCCATTGGCAACTCCTCAGTTGGCTCCTATGACCCTTTGACATAATCCCATAATTGTGTATCTTGTGAGGTTTTAAAAAATGATATTCTTACTTTCTAGCACTACAAGGCACTCTAGGCTAATTTTGCATATTTCCTGCTCCAGTTCTGGAATCAGCCATTTCTCCAAAGAGCCTGATTCTTGTTACTGCAGTGAGCGGAGATTGTGCCACTGCACTCCAGCCTGGGTGACAGAGCGAGACTCCATCTCAAAAAAAAGAAAAAAATTTCCCCGTATTTTACCTCTTTAACTTGCCCTCCTTTTTCCCCAACTCCTTGACAATCACTGATCTTTTTATTGCCTTTATAGTTCTACCTTTTCCAAAATGTCACATAATTGGAATCTTGCTTCAAATATTTTCTTAGCATTTGGCATTGTTAGATTTTTTTATTTTAGCTATTCTAATAGGTTTATAGATGAATATCACTGCTATTTTAATATGCAATTTTTAATGGAAAATGATGTTGAGTGTCTTTATATATATATAATGTGCCATCTATATATCTTCTTTAGTGAATCACGTGTTCACATATTTTGCTTACTTTTTCACTACATTGCTTGTTTACTTATTGTTGAATTTTAAGAGTTCTTTGTATATTTGCATACAAGTTCTTTATCAGATATGTGTTTTCTTCAAGTTTGTGGCTTGTCTTTCTATTCTGTTAAAAATGTCTGTTGCAGAGCAGTTTTAGAATTTTAGTGGTCCAGCTTATCAATTTTTTTAATGGATTATGCTTTTGGTTTTGTATCTAAACTTATCACTTAACCCAAGGTCATCTAGATTTTTTTCCTGTTATCTTCTAGATGTTTTATAGTTTTGTGTTTGACAATTATGTCTGTGATCTACTTTGAGTTAATTTTTGCAAAACCTCTAATATCACTTTCTAGATTCATTGTTTTGCATGTGGACATACAATATTTCAAACATGACTTGTTGAAAATATTACACTATATCCTTTGAATTGCCTTTACTCCTTTGTCAAAGGAGTTGGAAAAGGAATAAATCAGTCGACTATATTTGTGTCTATTTCTGGGTTCTCTCCTTGGTTCCATTAATCTATTTGTCTTTTCTTTCCCCAACCTTACACTGTCTTAATTATTATAGCTTTACAGTAAGTCATGAAGTTGGGTAGTGTCAGTTCACTGACTTTGTTCTTTTTCTTTAGTATTATGTTGATTAATGTAGATCTTTTGCCTTTCCATATAAATTTTAGAATCGTTTTATGGATACTTACAAAATAGTTTGCTGAGAATTCAATTTGTGTTATATTGAATTGTATTATATTGAATCTGTCAAACACATAGGGAGAATCTGTCATCTTAACAATATTGAGTTTTCGAATCCATGAACATAGACTCTCCATTTGTTTAGATCATTTTTTATTTATGTCATCAGAGTTTTGTAATTTTCCACATACAGATTCTGTGTACTTTTGTTAGATTTGTACCTAACTGTTTTTGTGGAGTTTTTTTTGTTTTGTTTTTTGTTTTTTTGTTTTTTGGTGTTTTTTGTTTTTTGTTTTTTGTTTTTGCAGCATGCTATTGTAAGTGATATTTTTTTAAATCAAATTCCAGTTTTTTCCTTGATGGTAATTGCTAGAAAGAAATTGATTTTTGTATATTAACCCTGTATCCTATACCCTTACTTGCTTGCTTATTAGTTCCAGGATTTGTTGGTGTTGTCATTGGGTTGGTTGGTTGATTTGTTCATTCTTTGTGATATTCCACATAGACATTCAAGTCATCTGAGAATAAAGACAGTTTTATTTCTTCCTTTCCAGTATGTTTGCCTTTTCATTTCTTTGTCTTTTTGCACTAGCTAAGACTTCCAGTACAATCTTGAATAGGAGTGGTGAGAAAGGACATTCTTGCTTTGTTCCTGATCTTAGTGGGAAAGCATCCAATTTTCCATCAAGTATGTTAATAGCTGTAGAGTTTTTTGTACGTGTTCTTTATCGAGGTGAGGAAAATCCTCTATATTTGTAGTTTGCTGGGAATTTTTAATTTTTAATCACAATAAAAAATGATTGTTAGATTTTTTCAAATACTTTTCCTGCGTTTATTAATATGATTATATAATTGTTTTTATTTAATCTGTTGATGTAATGTATTACATTGACTGATTTTTGAATGTTGAACCAACCTTGTATACCTGGAGTAAGTCCTATTTGGTTGTAGCATATAATTCCTTTTACACATTGTTGGATTGATTTGCTAATATTATATTGAGAATATTTTTCATCTGTATTCATGAGAGATAGTGGATTTTGGCTTTCTTCTTTGTAATGTCTTTGTCTGGTTTTAGTAATAGAGTAATGCTGGCCTCATGGAATGAGCCAGGAAGTTTTTCTTCTGCTTTTGTTTTCCTGGAGGACATGTTAAAGAACTGGTATAATTTTTTCCTTAAATATTTGGTAAAATTCACTAGTAAAACCATTTGAGCCTGGAACTTTGGTTTTTGGAAGGTAAGTAATTATTGATTCAGTTTCATTAGTGGATACAGCTCTATTCAGATGATTTATTTCTTGTGTTGATTTTGATTGTTTTTGTCTTTCAAGGAAGTAGTCCATTTCATCTAAATTATTTTTAGCTGTCTATGTTAGTAATTTGTAAATTCTCTTTTTATCTTGATTACCCCGGCTAAAGGTTTGTCAGTTTTATTGCTGTTTCTAAAGAACCAGCTTTGGTTTCATTGATTTTTCTCTATTGCTTTCCTGTACTCAAATTCATTGATTTATGCTCTAGTTTTTATTATTTCTTCTGCTTTTTTTAAATTTTAATTTCAACTTTTATTTTATATACAAGGAGTACATGTATAGGTTTGTTACATGGTTATATTGTGTGTGCTAAGGTTTGGGTACAGATCTTGTCTCCCAGGTAGTGAGCATCTTACACTAGGTAGTTTCTCAAGCCATGTTTCCCCTCCCTCCTGTCCCCATCTAGACATCCCAGTGTCTCTTGTTCCCATGTTTATGTCCATGTCTGCTCAGTATTTAGCTCCCACTGACAAGTGAGAACATGTGATATTTGGTTTTCTGTTCCTACATTAATTCGCATAGGATAATGGCCTTCAGCTACCTCCACATTGCTGAAAAGGACATGATTTTGTTCTTTTTTATGGCTGCATAATAATCTGTGATGTACGTGTTCCACAGTTTCTTTATCCAGTCCACCACTGATGAACACCTAGGTTGATTATGTCTTCGCTATTATGAATAGCATGGCAATGAACATGCGAGTGCATATATCTTTTTGGTGAAATGATTTCTTTTCCTTTGGATGTATACCCAGTAATGGGATTGCTACATTGAATGGGCTCTGTTTTAAGTTCTTTGAAAATATTCACAAATAAAATGAATTACCTAGGAATATAGCTAACCAAGGAGGTAAAAGGTCTCTACGAGAAGAACTATAAAACACTGCTGAAAGAAATTGGAGATGAAACAAATAAATTCCAGAACATTCCATGCTCATGGATTGCAGCAGTCAGTATTGTTAAAATGGCCATACTGCCCATACAGATTCAATGCTGTTCCTATCAAACTATCAACATCATTTTTCA